TGCATGTGCACGTAGACGTGCGTGCGTGCGTGCGTGTGCACGTACACGTGTGTGCATGCGTGCGTGCGTGCGTGTGCACGTACACGTGCGTGAATGTGTGCGTACGTGCATGTGCACGTACACGTGCGTGCATGAGTGTGTGCGTGCGTGTGCAAGTACACGTGCGTGCGTGCGCGCGTGTGCAGGTACACGTTCGTGCGTGCGTGCGTGCGCGCGTGTGCATGTGCACGTAGGCGTGCGTGCGTGCGTGCATGCGTGTGCACGTACACGAGCGTGCGTGTGTACGTACATCGTACTAGTGCTGCGCCTATCGTGGAGGTTAAGCTAACTCGAGTTAAGCGTCTACACGGGCCTTACCTTAACCTCGAGTTACCTTAACCTCGATAGACTGGCGAGGTTAAGCTAACTCGAGTTAAAGCTAGCTCGAGTTAAGGCCCCGTGTAGACGCTTAACTCGAGTTAAGGTTCGTCGTGTAGACGTAGCTTATATTGTTTTTCTAGCGTTCTCACCTCAGCCATAACGAACGTCGAATTGGTTATACACTGTCTTGAATTGCTTGCGGTTGGTACCATGAAACTACTTGTGTGTGTGTGTGTGTGTGTGTGTGTGTGTGTGTGTGTGTGTGTGTGTGTGTGGTGTGTGTGTGTGTGTGTGTGTGTGTGTGTGTGTGTGTGTGTGTGTGTGTGTGTGTGTTTGTGTGTGTGCGTATGTGTGAGTGCACGAGTGTTTGCGTGTGTGTACGTGTGTGTTTGTGCGGGCGTACGTGCGTGCGTGTACTAGATAACAACAAAATTTATCCGGTGCATGAAAGTTTTACAATAATGTCTGCTGAGAAAACTACTTGCTATCAGATATCCCACGTACCCGTAGTTGAACACACACACACACACACACACACACACACACACACACACACACACACACACACACACACACACACACACACACTGTGTGCTGTGTGTGTGTGTGTGTGTGTGTGTACACCAAACGCGCTAGCGCGCACGCACGCACGCACACACATACGAGCACATACGCACGCACACACGCACGCACACACGCACAGACTATTGATAAGATATTTAAAGCTGAGTAATGAAAGTGAGTTACAAAGATATCTCTTCTATTCTATCTACTTAGAAAATACTCACTGCAGTCACAGAACACCTGTGCCTCGAAGTCATAACAAGGCTTGCCGAATTTCTGATCGCTGTTTTTGCAAGCTAAACCTTCATCGAGGTTGCATGTAACAACCTGGGAATGTTCAAAAATAGAAGAATATGCGTTAAATAGACAGGAAACACGAAAACTTGACTCTAGTACCATAACCGGGCACAGAAAACACTATTTAAACTACATACCTGTCCTGAAACATTTGCATAGATGCCAGTGTTGGTAATTCTGCAAGCAATGTCGATTATTTCTCCGTTTGGGCAGTAATCTGGCTGGCTTGCTAGGATTTCATCTATGCGCTCGACGTCACCTCCCGTGGGAATAGTTGTCCTGCGATGGGTATTGCTCCACTGTGACCAGCCGCATTCTGAGATGCTATTGTCCGGCGCTAGACAATTAATAATCACGTGTAAATATGCAGATATATTCAGGCGAGATGGATGATGGATCGTGTGTGAATTAAGATATTTGATTTCATAGAAGAGTTTAATTTTGATATAGCTCCTTAAATTTGGTGATTTTTTTTAATCTAGTGACTGTATTACCTTTTTCAGGATAATATTTCTCCAGTCAATATACCAAACCATGTAACCATTTATGTGCCCGTGCTCTTTATTATGCGAAAGAGAAATTGTAGGATGTTAAAGATGAGATTCTAGAATAGTCTCACTCACTGACAATAACCGTACTGACAGGTGGCTCAGTTGTGGTTCGCGTGGTAGTAGCTGGAGAAAACAAGAATGGTTAGCATTATAGCATTTCTATTCAATATACTACTGTCATACTGGTAAAAGTTTGCAAAAAAATTTAAAATTACAGAAGGCAGAACTTGCAGAGAGATTATATTTTCAATTAGAATTACACGTTTAGTTGAAAATATATATACTCAAGAAATAATGGTTAAATTACAAGAGATGTTGCAAATTGTATGCGACAATAGTATTTTTACGATAAAATTCAACTGGGACCACATATTGTAATAGTATACTATTACCCTACAAATTAGCCATCTACTAGCCATCGAGAATTCATAAAAATGAGATACAAGAAATTATTTTAAAACACGGATCGGATAAATATCATTCAGTCGGCTTTAGGTGGCTCACGTGTGCGACAAAAAATAATATCATAATATGAGAAAAATATCCTACAATACCTTGAGTAGTTGTGCATGGATTACCGATGCACTTAATCTTTCTGTTCTGGCAAAAGCTGCAAACATGAATATATTACCAAATGAACATAACTGTACTTCGCGTACAAACACACGCAGGCACGTACACATGCACGCACACACTCGCATATACGTACACACACAACACGAACGTACGCACGCACGCACGCACACGCGCGCACACGCGCACACACGCACACGCGCACACACGCACACACACATAACACACGCACACACGCGCGCACACACACACACATACACATACACACACACACACACACACACACACACACACACACACACACTA